TCAGCGCTCGCCATCACATCACCTACCGCTAGACTGAGCTCCAGCCGCAGCCGCGCCGCCGCCTCCACGTGTGCTACAAGGCGATCTGCCGCCGGCTGACGGCGGCGCCGCAGCTGCCGCGAAGTCGCCGCCGCAGCAGGAACGCCTGCCGTCGTACCCTGTTGACCGTGTTCAACGGCCGCCGCCAGCAGCCGCGACAGGCGCAGGTTCCTTAAGACGCGACTCACCTCGCTCCAAAAGGTAGCCAACACCTCCGAATCGACCGCCGCCGCCGATGCTGCGTTCCCCTCGCCGTCACTATGCACCCCTAGCGGCGGCAGCGCACCCGCCCGCGCCACCTCCGTCGCTAGTTGCACCACCGCCAACGCGGCAGCTCCGCCGCCGCCAGCGCCAGTACGGCCCCCCACCAAGTGGGGTGCCGCCACCGCCACGACCACCTGCCGTGACGGTGTGTAGTTGGCGGCGGCACGCATGCGCGCAAGTAAGCTGGCGGCCGTGGCCAGGTCAGGTGCCACCGTCAGCGGCAGGAGCGGCGGAGGCGGCCTCGCCGCCGCCGCCGCCGCCGCGCCGCCGCCGTCCGTACCGCCACAGCTGCCGCCGATTTGCCTCTGCTGCAGCCACTGTACGGCTGCTGCATCTAGCAGGTCGCGCTTGGCCTGAGTGACGTGCGGCATGTGCTCCGAGATCTTGGTCAACTTGGTCAGAAACGCCCGGGCCATCTGGGGGCTCCAGACGATGCTGCCGCCACCGCCGCCGCCACCGCCACTGCCGCCGCTACCGCCGCCGCTGCCCCCATCAGTCCGGAACCATTTCAAGAGCTCGTCCAGTGAATGCGCCCTTCGGAGCGCCTCAAACTGCCGCATGTGAGCGCGCTGCTGTGAAGCCTGTGGCGGCGGCGGCGGCGGCGGTAACGACGGGCCCCCAGCCTGTCGCCCTTCCTCTTGTACTTGCTGCCCTCCTGTCTGTGGCTCCTCTCCAACTGACGAAGAGGAGGGGGCCTCCGTCGGCGGCGCACCCAGCGGCAGCCACGGCGCGGACGGCAACGGCGCTGGCGGGACTGGGCCCGACCGGGACCTGCCGCTGGATATGAGCCTGGGCCGGCACACAGCCATGTCGTACGACACTGCCGTACATGAGACCGAGATTTCCGATGACGCTACCGCGCCGATGGGAGCACCGCAACGCATGAGAGGTTGCGCTCGGCGCAGCGCAGCTGCGGCCGCCGTCGCCGCCGTCGCCGCCGCCGCCGCTGCGTTACCAGGGTAGCCCGTTTGCTGCAGTGGCGGCGGCGGCGGCGGCGGCCGCCGCGGCTTCGCCGCGCCGACGGTCCGGTTACACGACCCGCCGTGATAAGGCCCCATATTGCTGCATCCCGTGGATTCCAGTTGGTCAGGTTGGGGAGGAAGAGGGGTACCGTGCCCACTCAGCAGCGCCGACGCACACGCGGCTTCGGCGCCGGCCTCCAATCGGCTTACAGGACGCGGTGCGGATTCGACTGCAGCAGCGGTGGCCGCCTGGATCCCGTGTTGCAGAGATGAGGATGCATTCGGGGATCGGGGGCCTGCGGGCTGCTGCTGCTGCTGCTGCTGCCCTTCCCGCTCGGTGGTTAGCGCTGGCGGCAGTGGTGTGGGTGGTGGCTGGGCCCCAGGCGCCATGGAGCTCACGTGAAGGTGCCGCGGCATCGATGGTCCGTTCGTTGGGACCACCGCCAGTGCTGCGGTCTCCATGATTGCCGCTGATGGCAGAGGAATTGCAGGTTGATTAGGCAGCATCTGGGAGTTTGGGCTTTCCGCAAGCTGGGCATCGTCTTGGCTGTCCGGGCGAGGGGAGCAAGGTAGCGGAAGGGGATGAACGGTTTCGGAGCGTGCTGGGCCATAGCACAGAATAGCAAAATGAGCTGAGGGGAATTGATCATACCTTTGTTGCAGGAGGCCATTGTAGTTGTGCGGGTGAAAGGCACGCTCAGCGAGACCATTGACATGGGGTGGGGGAAAGCCATCTGCGCGCCGCGGTATGTCATAATCACAAGGGATAAATGTGTTATCTGGAAGCACAGAAAACGGCTCTCGTTTGACCCACCGTGGAGGATTACTGTTATAGCGTTTAGGAGTTGATTTACACGCCGGAGGCGGGAGTAAACGAGCATCAGGGCGGCGGAACTGCAGCCGCCTTGGTGTTGGAAAATCTGCTCATTTTGCTTCGCATGTGGAAAGACTGGAAAAGGGATGGAGACGATGTGCAGTACGATGCACAGTAAGCTGTACTCGTTGGTAAACCCCATCCACTGCAGACTTACGCCGTTAATAACTTGAATTGCCAAATTTCCATTTCCTTTTTGCGCTTGCACAAGTTTCCGTAATAACTCTTCCTTGCCACGGCGCTCCGTCCTTTCCTTACGATTTTTACTCGAAAGGCCTGACCTCGTATGCTTGAAAATTTATCCTTTGATAACATTAAAACTCTTTTGTAATTCATACCTGCATTAAAAAGGGCACCGGCCAGCTGACACCTGCCTTGACCTGCGAACCATCGCCTGGGCGAAAATGGAGCATGCGAGCCCCGGGCGCAGGGAGGTGCTTTCACAGCGACATGATGGGGATTCCCCTGTTGTAAGCATGAAGCGGCTAATGCAGCAGCTTCACGAAGAGCTGGAAGGGCTGCGGCAGCAGCAGAATGCCCTTTTCAAGCAAATCGCCGATCAGCAAGCGCAGGATGAAGCGAACAGGTCATGGTAGGTCTGCACAGGGACTATGTTTATAGCGACGGGCAAACCGCTGGCGTTTACAGCGCGCTGCTGATGCACCGCAGGGTCAAGGAGCGGCTAGAAATGCTGGATCGCAAAGTTCAGGAGGCAACAACGGCAGCATCATCTATTGCTGCCTCGGCATCATCAGCAGGTGTGTTCATCGGATATCTTTCCCTTTTTAACCGGCCCTAGGCGCTCCAAATCTGTCTCCCGTCTCTGGAGCCATCGAATTCCGGTCCCAGAGCGCTGGGGGACCCCGCCAACAATCCTACTCCTTCCATGTCTACGACCACCCTCCTCAAGAATTACCTTCCCGCTCTCCATTCACCCGGAAACGCTTACACAGCCATGCCCTGGCGGGCCCCGAGTCCCCATTTCAAAGAGCCCTCCCTTCCTCTTTCCAAATCTGCTTTGAAACACTTCGGCCCACTTACCTTCCATGCCCCTGCCGTGCCCGTGTCAGAGAATTACCGAATCCATCTCCGTCTTATTCGAACAGTCACATGGAACCTGCCATTGCCCCTGCCAGCTCCGTGGCACTCCTGCGCGTTTATAAACGTTTGCTTACCATCTCCCTTCTGCATGCCCCTTCTACATCGCACGGACGGACCTTCCCCATTCCTCCAGGCCCTCACGGCTTGCTAGCATCCCGATGTGGGTCTCCCATCGATGTGGGTCAAAACTAACGAACTTAACTGTTAACTGGATCCTGCGCCGCGCGTCCCACATCGCGTTCTACCTTGCCTAACGTCCCGCCGTCCCGCTTCCTTGACTTGTCCTGCGGGCGTGGGACCACCCACACATCGTCACCCACTGCAGCGGCCGCAGCGAACTCCGCCGCTACGTCAGCAGCGGCGGCGGCGTCAGCTGCCGCCGCCACCGCCGCCGTCCCAAACCGTCCGGCGCATTGCAGCGGCGCTCTCATCAAGACCTCCTCTTTTGAGTTCTCCCACAACACGATTCGCTTCTCCAGGGAGGGCAGTACCGGAGCCTTTGGCAGCGGTAGCTTGATGCCACAGCCCGGGGCCCCGGCGGGCGCCAGCCCTCTCGGCCGCCGCGGCCACCACGGTCTCAGCCAAGGCCCTGCCAACACCGGCATGAATGCCAGCACCGGCGGTGGCGGCGGAGGCGGATCGGAGGGCGAGGGTCTGGCGGTTTCGTTGGGTAGCCCCCGGCGCGGTCGCTTCCTGCGTCCGTCCACCTCGGAGGAGTCCGAGGAGTCGGCTGGGGCTGTGTCCGACGTTGGGGGCGGACCCATGGGTCGCTTGGCGGGCAGGTACGGGGGGTGGGCAAGGGGATAGTCGCACGCTGGCGATGTGTGTGGGTGTGTAGCCACCTGCCCTGTAGGTGTGTAGGACTGAGGGTAGCAGTTGTGGCAGTTGCAGCTGCGATTGCATGCAGCTCCTGCTCGCTCGCCGCCACAGGCGCCGCGCAATCCCTGGTATTCTGGCTGCCTGACTGGCTGTCGTCCTAAATTGGCTCTGGCCCCCAACGTAGGTCCTGGAGTGGTCGGTCTCTCATGGGCCGGGGCAGAGGCGGCTGGGGAGGGGACCCTGGGGGCCCAGGGCGGCGGCTGGTGGAGCCGCCAGGACCAATGGCTACGGTGGCGGCGGCGGGGTTTCGGGACACCGTAGCCAATTCCGCATTCGCAACGACGGGGGTTCAAGCTCTGGCTGTACGGGACTTTGTCGCCGCCGCCGCCGCGGCCGGTGCTGCGTCTGGCAGGCCTGGCGGCAGCAGCAGTGGCGGCGGCGGCGCGGGCGCTGCTTTCGTGGCGTCGCCGACACGTGGCGTCCGGCGCGCCGGGGCGGTGCTGCTTCAGCAGCAGCAGCTGGGAGTGTTTGACAGCATGCAGGTGCGAGTGTGCGTGCGCGCGTGTGTGCATGTGTGCGGAGTGTGTTAATTTCTGTGATTCCGCTGGGTGATTGCCGTCTGGCGGCGACCAAAAGCGGACGTTTGCAGTCACCAGATTGTTTTTTTTGCGAAACGTTCACTGCGGCGGTTGTGGCGTTCGTTATGAATCGCGTGGGAGATAGGAGTTTTGTGTGTGAGCGCGCCACATTTTGAAAATTCTTCTTCGTTTCGCCGCCGTTCCGAAAATTTCCGCCATGGCAGGACGCCATGCCGTCCCTTACCACGATGCCGGAAAGCCTGCCATCACTAGACTCCGCAGCCGCCGCAGCGGCAGCCGCAGCAGGCGGCGGCGGCGGCGGCGGATCCTCCGCTGCGTCCCAGCATTGGGTATTTCAAAATGTCTCCTCCGTGGGTAACGGCCCCGGCCTCTCCCACAGCCAAAGCGCGGGGCATGGCCAGGGCCAGGGCCTCCATCATCACCACCATCATCATCTATTTCATAGCCATAGCCAAGGTCACAGCCACAGCCACAGCCATGGACATGGACATGGGCCTCACCATGGCCACAGCAACAGCATGGGCAGCAGCAGCGGCACCAGAGGCCCGGCCTCACACACGAGGAACTCGCATCATGGCTCCGCTGGCGGTGCCTTTGGCAGCGTCGCGATGCTCTTCCCGACGCTGCGCCACGGCGCCAGCGCAGACGACCTGCCCGGCGGGGCGTTAGCGGCGGCGACGGCGCCGTCGTCGCCGCCGCCGCCGCCAGGGCCGTTGTCGCCGCGATACCCAACCGCCAGCGGCAGCTCGACGCCGTACGCGGGTGTCACTGGCGGCGGCGGCGGACACCTGCTGGGGCTTGACGTTGCGAGGATGTCCATCAGCGTCGGCGGCGGCGCCGCCGCCGGCGCTACCGGCGGCGGTGCGGCGCCCTCCCTGGCGCGCGACAGCTTGCGTTCCGCCGTCATGTCGGAGCCGGATACGGAACGAGTGGAGGCCGCCAGCATCAAGTGCGTGGCGGAGTTCCCCGAATGGCGCATAGACTCCCAGGGCGTTTGTGTTAGGGAGGGAGGCTGGGTATTACTTTGTCTGTCTGTCTGTCTGCCGGAAGAGGGGGGAAGGAAGTGTAGATTACTAGGAACGGGTGTGGTGATGGTGACGGTGGGGATGGGAGGGGAGGGGGAGGAAAAGGAGGGCCTAGGGTTGAGACGGTGTGCAGCGCTGAGCGGCGATCGGGCGGCAGCTGGCGCGGAGCTCACCGACCCGTGGGTCGCGCGCTTCCTCGTTCCCTGACAGGCACTTTAAGGGCATCTCTCCTCGCTTGGTGGAGATCTACCGCCAGCGCGCCGAGCAATCCCACTGGTCGCTGCAGAGCGAATCGCTGCAGCAGCTGCGCACGGCGAGCCGACGTGGCAGCACCGACATCCTACAGCGACCCACGGGTCTGTCGCGGCCGCCGCTGCCGCCGACGCCGACAGGCGGGGGGACCAACAGCGGCGGTGGCGGCGCTTCGCGCATCTCCTTGCTGCACGGAGGCACCAACAGCAGCGGCGGCGGTGGCGGCGGCGGCGGTGGCGGCAAGCCGCGTGAACTATGCACTCACGGAGGCGGTGGCGGTGGCGACGAGGGCGCTGGTTGGGTGCTGTTGGACCCCAACTACGACCACCCTCCTATGATCGGTACGTGCTCGTCCAACCCACCCCTTGGTCAGTAACTGTCAATAACTCCTGCCGTATTCCTGTTTATCATACCTCTGGAACAGTCACTACTGGTTGTTGGTAACTTCTTAAAATTTCCTGATGCAGTATCTGCCTATCAATACTGCGGAGTATCCTTGGTACCAGCTTTAGTATCATTCTCCTTACTCGTCTGTGGTTCGTCTTTTACCCTCTTTCGCCCTCCCTCCCTCATCGCGTTGGCGTCGGTCGGCTAGCCGGAATAGAATAGTCGGGTCGGTCGGGTCGGTCGCGCGTTTTAGTTTTTGGGAGGTTGGGAGGAGCACTTGCATACCGACAGCCTTTCAGCATCAGCAAATCAGCTATTTCTCCAGGCCAGCAACTTTATGCCACCTTCACGACAGCACTATTTTACTACGCTTCCGCCGCCTTCACTACTACTTTTCTACACCTACTTCTTTACGGATTGGCTATACTATTCCGCTTTTTTAGTTCTGGCGGCTTAGGTAGGTAGTCTTTCCGACATCTTCTTCACTTCGTCATCCCGAGGTCACGGTCGCCACGGATGCCTTTCGGTCAGTTCTACGTTTGTTACTCTCTTGCCCTGGCAGCAGCTTCAATCGTGTGTGGTTCGTCTTTCCCACCCTCGCTCCAAGTTTCCGTCTTTAGTATCTGCTCCATTCGCCAGTGTTCCGTCCAACCCGCCAAGTCCAGACCACCCTTTGCTTCTTCACATACACCTTCATACACGTGATCCTCCCCCCCCACACACACAACAGCCCACGGCCGCTGTCACCACCACCCACTACCACCGTCCGTCACATACTCCCCCACCCCACCCCACCCCACCCGGACCCCGGCCCCGCACATACACACACATACTGTCGTAAATACGTTGCCGTACACATACTGCCACCGTCACCCCCCCACACACACATACACACTATACCTGCCACCGTCTCTGCCTGCACGAAGGCGATGATGATGAGTACTACAAGCCCATGACGCTGTTGGAGCGGCTCAAGCTCTACCTGGTGGGCCTTATTCGCCCCGAGGGCCGTACCAAGTGGGACCTGTTCATCCTGGTGTTGCTGGCCTGGGTGCTGTTCGGCTCGCCCGTCGTAATTTGTTTCGGATTGTCGGTGAGGAAGGAGGGGGTGGTGACGGGTTTGATTTGTTGGGGGGGGGGGAAAGAGGGGGGAAGGAGAGGGGAGAGATACATACATACATACATACATACATACATACACCTCCCCCTTCACCCCCTCGCCCTGGTGGCCCAGCAGGGCGACACGTTGGGTGGGGACTGGGTGCGGATTGTGGAGCTGTGTGTGGACCTGGCCTTCACCTTCGACATCTACCTCAACTTCAGGTGCGGCAGAGCCATGAAACGGCAGCGGGGTTTGCCTGCCTGTCTGTCTGTCTGCCTGTCGGCTCACGTTACGGTTACCCCCTTCCTCCGCATTTGTACGCATGCTTTTCCTTTTTTTCTCTCTTCCCCCGCCCACCCGCCCGCCCGCCCGCCCGCTCGCCCCTCTTCCTCCGTCCTCTGTTTCGAGTGCCGGGGGGCTCTTGTCATGAGAAGTTTTGCATCATCATTTTTTACGGACTCCACCTCGCATTTATGCGAAACCTGTGACTTGTGTGTTGATGTTCCCCCTCTCTCTTCCTTCCCCCTGCTCCCGCACCTCCCCTCCCCTCCCCGTACCTCACCTCCCCACCCGCACCTTCCCCACCTCACCTTTCCGCACCTCCCCTCCCCTCCCCGTACCTCCCCTCCCCACCCGCACCTTCCCCACCTCACCTTTCCGCACCTCCCCTCCCCGTACCTCACCTTCACTCGTTCGTGGTTCGTCTTTCCCTCCCCTCACCTCACCTCACCTCCCCTCACCTCACCTCCCCTCACCTCACCCACAGGACCGCCTACTACGACAGCAAGGGCCACCTGGTCACGGAGCGATGGCGTATTGCCCGACACTACCTCAAGACCTGGTTTCTGCTGGACCTTATTTGCATCATACCCTACGACCTCATCACAGCCGGCACCATGGGGTTCCTGTCAATGCTCAAGGTAAGGGAGCGGGCCTCGGGACGGGGCGGAACACCGCCGTACACCAAGGTGCCGTACATGTAGGAAGAAAGAAAATGCATTTGTGTGTGTATATAGTGTGTGTACGTGTTATGCGGGACGGAGGGTTGGGGGGTGGGGTGGTTCCGATTTGGGTTTTGGGTTATGCGTGGGGAGAATGGGGGCCCGGAGGGGAGAGGCGACGGCAAGGTAGGGGATGGTGTGTGCCTGTGTTTGTGTGTGTGTGCGTACGTATGTTGTGTAGTTGTGTGTGTGTGTGTGTTATACTAGGGTTTCGTGAGCTCTCTCTGCCGTGCGACTTGCCCGGTGGTGCGTCCCCCCTCCATCGCCTCCCTAGGCTTTGGAAGCCACATTGATTGATCCACATTGTTTCATAATGCACTATCTTCTTCATCCCCATCTCCATCTTCATCTGGTCCCGCCTCCCCTCCCCCCTATATACACACACACAACCGCCGACGGGTTAGTTCTGCTTTCTTTACATCTGCCGCAGCAGTCTTTCCTTGGCAGCAGCTTCACCTGCTCGTGTGGTTCGTCTTTTCCCCCCGGGCCTCTTTTCCCTCCCCCCCCCTCTCACCTCACCTCACCTGACTGCTTCTTCACAACCCCCGACCGCAACCGGTCAGTCCTGCTACCGTCCTGTACATCGGCCGCAGCACTCTTTCCCCACTTGGCATCAGCTTCACACACGCTCACGTGGTTCGTCTTTTCCCCCCTCCCCTCCTGCAGCTGCTCCGAGTGGTGCGAGTGGGCAAGGTCATTCGCATGATCCGAATGTACCGCCTGTTGCGGGTCATTCGGCTGCCCAGGCTACTAGAGCAAATGGAGATGTTCATCGACCGGGGGGTGCTGCAGGTGCGGAGGAGGGGGAAGGGGGAGGGGAGGAGCCAGCGTGGGGCCGGTGCGGGTGGGGGGCTGGATAGGGGGTAAGGAAGTGTCTGTGCTTGTGTGTATGTGTGTGTATGTGTGAGCGTACGCTTCATCGGGGTCTTTGGCCCCTCGGAAGGGAGGGATTGGAGGAGGGCCGTTAAAGGGTGTAATCGGTGTCGTACAGTACGACACGCCCGTTTGTTTTTCCCCTCGGTCCTGTGTTTTTTACAGTCTCCTCCACCCCCCCCCCTCCAACCCCCCCTCCTTCCCAGGTCATGGCGTTCATACTGTCCGTGTGCCTCCTCGCGCACCTCTCTGCGTGTATCTTCTTCTACATGGCCTACCTGGACGGCTTGGGACCGCAAACCTGGGTGGCTGCATACGGAGTGCAGGACGCGGGTGGGAGGGGAAGTGGGCCTGGGGAATGGACATACATGGACATACATAGACACAGACATATATACATAGACATAGACATACATACATAGACATACGGACATAGACATACAGACAAATGTACATACATACAGACATATATACAGACATACGGACATGCATGCATGCATGCAGACCTGGCCACCAAGTACCTGACCTCCCTGTACTGGGCCTTCACCACCACCGCCACTGTGGGGTACGGAGACATCACACCGAAGACCGACAAGGAAAAGGTGCGGTGTGTGTAATTAGTGGGCGTGGGGGCGCAGGGTTATCAAGCCAATCAGAGTCCTCCGCCGGCACGATCTCAATTTCGGGTAGTACGTGCTGCGGTGCAGTGGAGGGCCGCCTAGCGGCGCCCCGTACGGTAGTTGACATGACGGGCAGGGACATATATTGCCGGCGAACGTGCGTGTGCCTATGTATGAGCGTATACGCTGGCCGTGGCGGAACAAGGCACCGAGCTTTGCCTTTGAGATGGCTCGTCTGGGGGTGGGGTTGTGGGGGTGGGGGGTTTGGTGCTGGTCGGAAGGCGCACAAGGGGTGGGGGGGGGGTGGAGATGAAGGGGTCACGACGGAACAGGGCTGTCGTAACTCTTGCCCTAAATGTATTTTCTGCGATTGTGCGTCCCCACCCGCTGCCTCCTCCCGCTTCCCCTCCTCCTGCCCGGGTCCGGGTTTTACCGCCATCCGTCCCCCCCTCCTCTACTCTTCGGGTCAGTTCTGCTCTTCTGGTACACTCTTTCCTTGGCAGCAGCTTCACGCGGGTTCGTGGTTCGTCTTTCCCTTACCACCCTCCTCTACCCCCGCACCTCCGTCCTCTCTCACTCCTCCCCCTTTTTTTCCCGCCTTGCCGTACGTTCGCCCTCCCTCCTCCTCCGGCTTTACGCCAACACACCATTGGTTTTGTTCCGCCTGCCTCTCTCCCCCCCCTTTCCTCCTGCTCCTCATCATCATCGTCACCATCATCATCGTCATCACCAGGTCATCGCTATCTTCGTGATGTGTTTGGGTGTGTCATTGGTTGGCTACGTCACCTCCTCCATCACCAATATCATGGCCATCAAGAACGCCCAGCAAACAAACATCGCAGCAAAGAAACAGCTGGTACGAAGGGGTTTGTGGAGGTTAGCAGTTGTTGGGTAGTGGTTGTTGGTTAGCGGTTGTTGGGTAGTGGTTGATGGATTGGAGGGTGTGGAAGTCAGGTGGGTAGGGACGGGGACTGCTACTGGTACTGCTATTGCTGCTGCTGCTGGCCCATTACCTAATCCCGGCCCAACCCCCCGCCAAACACACGCACACACAAAACACACGGGTGCAAGGTTGTTACAGTCGCAAGTGGGTATTGACAACACGATGTGCTTCTTAAATTTCCCCCTCCCCTTCCCCTCTCCCTTTTTTTCGCCAATTGCCAGTGGTTCGTCTTACCCCCCTTTTACCTCGGTAGTGGACTGCTTTGCCATCCTTTCCCTTCCCTCCCCTCCCCTCCCCTCCTACGTAATTCAGCTAGCTGCTGCTGCTGGTGGTGTTTTCCCCAACCTGCCTTGCTGCCCCTCTTTCCGCGTCCTCCCCCTCCTTCCCCCCACACGACTCCCCCGCGGCCCCTGGTTTGGCGGGTTTCCTCTGTTTGAATTCCTTTGGTTTTCGTGCGTACGAATGCCCTCCCCCGAACCCGCCCTAACTCCCCTGTTTCCTTTTTTCCCGGCCCCCTTTCGGGGTGGCCTTCTTCCATGGGCCCCCGGGGCCCCCCACCTTCCCTCCCCGGGCGCTGTAGGTCATGGATGTGCTCAAGTCCAGGTCGGTGCCTTCGGAGCTCAGCCGCCGCGTGTACAACTACTTCGACTACGTGTCGAGTGGCTTGGTTGGGTTGAGTGAC